CTAAAGAGTTTAAACAGAAAGAACCCCGCTCAAATTCCTATTCCTACACAAAGCACAAGCTCCTACTGCAGTTGACAAATATTATTATATAATACCACGTAGTCCTACGTCATAATTGCGTACAACCCCATAGGGCTGTCCCTTGTAGTTTTTTTTTTATTATTAAATATAGTCACTTTAACGCTCTTGGGTCATTCGTGACTTGTCCGGGGGTGAGATTTGAACTCGTGACTATGACGTGAGAGGTATGGATGCTAACCACTACGCCAGGGTTGCCTCCACCATACCTGGTTGTGCTCAACTTACCATTGTATGAAGGGCCAAAAACGGAGGGTGGACCCATAAGCAGAGACACTTACGCGTGATCCACGGGAGCAAGAAAAATCTCCTTCCAACGATAAAAATGTTCCAACCCAATACAGAACAAGCCATCATACGAGGGAATGTCCCAATGAGTGGGGAGAAGAGCCCACGTTCAATTCACGAAATGTTAATTTTAGGCAATTCCACTCTCCCCATCCAAATCACTTTAATCAAGCACCCTGATGGTCCCATCCCTACCCAATGAATTTATTTGATTATATAAAAATATGTAGAATGTAGACGAAATTTGGAACTTGCCATTTGTCTAGGAAATAACACCTTTGACTGGCACTTCAACTGGATCTTCATACCCACCATCTGTCGCTGTCTGCAAAAATATCTAATAGCAATTACCAGTGCTGTGATAGTTCCTTCAACGAAAACTAATTTTCTTGCATTGTCATGGTCATTTTGTCTAAAGTAGCTGGTCCCCCGAGCAGTCGCAATGAGCGGTCCGTTCAGATTAGTATGAGATGGTGTTATATGTAAAATTCTAAAAGAGAACAAAAGAAAGAAATACGAAAGAGATTAGTTTCAATAAGTGACAGTTTCATCGGATTCCCCAACTAACCATACTCAAGCATAGTAAGTATATAAAAGCTATGTTGCGACTATGTATGGCAACTTGGGCCGTCAGAATGGTTCATCGGTTACGAAGTGAAGTAGTTCGGAAAGTGATGCGTTATATTTCTCAATGTTTTGATCTTAGAAGTGGAAAATTGACATCCGCCGCCATTTTGGAATCCAAGATAGTGGACCAAAATCCAATATGGCGGCCTCCGGACAGCGTATATGCATCTAAACCCATGCAATATGGGTATCTATGGAATGGACTCGATGACTAGAAGTAGAAAATCGACATCCGCTGCCATTTTGGAATCCAAGATGGCGGACGAAAATCCTTGTGATCCACCATCGACGAACTAGTATTGACGCAAAATAAAAAAAAATGATTTAATGTTTCAATATTCCAGTTCACTCGGAATATTCCTTTGCATACAGCAATGTTAGTGAGGAGCGACCCTGTATTGATAGCCCCCGAAAATATCGTTGAAAATATTGATGGAAATATGACGAAACTTCTGTTGTGTGTCTCAGGCAGCAATGTATGCGCCTGTGGTGACGATCTCCACGATATCGAGCATGTTGATTGGACTTGTATCTCATACTGTATTGTCAGATCTGAGCTGTGAGAATCCCTCAGGGCCCGAAGAAAATGACCTGCTACACCCGTTAGGGTTGATGCATATATTATGTCACGCTCTAAGGGGGGAGGGGGGTCTAAGATTTTGTGACAAGCAATGCATTAGGTATAGGAAAAACGTCACGATAGGGGGGGAGCGGGTAATTTTTTGCTCGATTTAGCGTGACATAATTAATGCATGGGCCCTTAGAGACGCGATCTCGAATATATGCAGTTGATTTACGATTTTCTAAAACGGATCGATTTGAGAATTTGGCAGTCTTTAGTTTAGTAATTTTCGCTATTGAAGTGTCGGTCATCTCATCGTCAATTAGAATAATTTCGGCATACCTCACTCCACTTTTGCATATCTCCATTAAACCAGTGTGGCGTGTGATATTGATGAAACACAATTTAGTTGTGATGTAAGACCTGGAGCCTACGCTCCTTTTTATTTTTATATGATTCTTAAATCTACCTGTCACTAATTATCCATCCCGTCGCTTTTCAATTAACGGGAATCGAAAATTCCCGCCGGCGTTTATTGCACTTAGTGCCACCGAAAACTTGTTGCTCCCGATCCGATTGCATTGCAACAAGTTTTCTATTATGACCTTTCACTTATTACCATTCTAGTTTATTTGCCTGAAGGGCCTAACGATCGGAACTAATTGTAGTTAAGACGGAACAGAGTAAAGAGAAGGGACAGACATGTGGCGACGTTTTGGCCACATTAATATCCCCCCAAAGAAAAAGGTTTTGTATAGGAAATTGTTCATATATAAAAACTTTTCATTATTGTTTATTTAGATTGATTTCCTATTTATTTTTATTTTTTTTATCTTGTTCTTATTTAATCTATTCTGGTTCCTCTATTTACCAGTTCTTCCCATGTTTTCGGGATATATCCTATTTCTTTCATGAACTGGGACCTCCATTTCTGGACCAATTCATTGATTTCTGCAACTAGTTTATAATCAGGTTCGGATTTTTTATTTCTTTATTCCTCCTGTCAACTTCCTTGGCATGTTTCTCGTCTACCGTATGCCAATTGGCCCATTCAGGACGCATCTGGTTTTTGAAATTTTTGTAATTCTTTCTGTACATTTTTGTTTTTTAGACCTATATGGTGTCTAATAATTATTAATTTTATAATTTGTTTTTATTTACTTTTGACTGAAATTCGATAATCTTGATGATGATGATGATGTTGGTCCGTGGTCTTTGAACGATATAGAAAATATATTTATATAAATATGTAAGGGTACAGTCATTTTGATTCTTATTATTAAATTTAGAATCTCGCTTCCCCTATTATTTTCGATTTTCTTGGCTGTTTTGTTTTAGTTATTACAGGAGTATTTGAAGTGGTTATTATAGCTGGGGTATTGGTCTCTTGAGGGGTTTCGTCTGGATATTTGTCTGTGAAAACTACTGTTAATGTTTGCCGTTCTTGTGCTGGAGCCGAGTCATTTCCTCCCCCCCTAAATTTAAGTTTTAAGCAACGAAAGAGTTTAAAACTTAAAATTTAGGGGGGGAGGAAATGACTCTGCTCCAGCACAAGAACGGCAAACATTAACAGTAGTTTTCACAGACACAGATCCAGACGAAACCCCTCAAGAGACCAATCCCCAGCTATAATAACCACTTCAAATACTCCTGTAATAACTAAAACAAAACAGCCAAGAAAATCGAAAATAATAGGGGAAGCGAGATTCTAAATTTAATAATAAGAATCAAAATGACTGTACCCTTACATATTTATATAAATATATTTTCTATACCGTTCAAGGACCACGAACCAACATCATCATCATCATCATCATCATCATCAAGATTATCGAATTCCAGTCAAAAGTAAATAAAAACAAATTATAAAATTAATAATTATTAGACACCATATAGGTCTAAAAAACAAAAATGTACAGAAAGAATTACAAAAATTTCAAAAACCAGATGCGTCCTGAATGGGCCAATTGGCATACGGTAGACGAGAAACATGCCAAGGAAGTTGACAGGAGGAATAAAGAAATAAAAAAATCCGAACCTGATTATAAACTAGTTGCAGAAATCAATTTCAATCAATTTTTACGTCCTGGGACGGGTCATCATCTAGCTTGGCTTCTGTTAAGACACAAGCTCTCAATATAATAATAAAAAAATATTACCCTGTATTTACTGCGGTTGCCGTGGCTGTTTGTGTTGTTGTTGTTGTTGTTGTTCTTGTTGTTGTTGTTGTTGCTGTTTCTGTTGTTGTTGTTGCTGTTGCTGTTTCTGTTGTTGTTGTTGCTGTTGTTGTATCCTTTCCGATAGGCCTTGCTTCACTTGGTTTTGTTTAACACGGATTTTGTTTTTCGTTTGCACTTGAAAACACTAGCTGGCTTAGTTGGCTTGCAGGATTTCCCTTCACGGTCTCGTGATCTGCTCACTGTTTTGCGCGAAAACACACTTTTATTTCCTTTCGAGGCGCACGTGGAGCCTAGCACATAGTTTTTCTCCGGCACAAACTCAATTTAATTTTGTTTCAATTAACTTTTTCTGCTTTCTTTCACCGTCTAAACGCGATTGCTGCTACTGACTTTCCGTTGCCTCACTTTTTTGCACTTTTCCAACCCCCTTCAATCGGTTTCCTTTAGCCCGGTTTCTTCCAGGGTTCTGCAACTTTTCACTGCAATTTTCACGCGATAACTTGCGTTTGGACTCCAACTGTGAGTGAGATAGATGATCGGAGAGAGCGTTTCGGGTCCGGGTCTTTACGATCAACCGAATACATATACCGTCAGCAAGGTATTACACAACTTTCTTTAACCGCTGCCACCAAATTGTGGCGTGTGATATTGATGAAACACAATTTAGTTGTGATGTAAGACCTGGAGCCTACGCTCCTTTTTATTTTTATATGATTCTTAAATCTACCTGTCACTAATTATCCATCCCGTCGCTTTTCAATTAACGGGAATCGAATATTCCCGCCGGCGTTTATTGCACTCAGTGCCACCGAAAACTTGTTGCTCCCGATCCGATTGCATTGCAACAAGTTTTCTATTATGACCATTCACTTATTACCATTCTAGTTTATTTGCCTGAAGGGCCTAACGATCGGAACTAATTTTAGTTAAGACGGAACAGAGTAAAGAGAAGGGACAGACATGTGGCGACGTTTTGGCCACACCAGTATTCCGACAGCCTCGTAGATTTTGATTTACAGCAGTAGTAATTTAACTCGTAAGCAAATAATTTGATGCATGACTGTTAGATGTAGCTGTTTGTCTTTATTTTTGTTGACCTGGTTTTTGCCGGAAATGGGTCCCATACGCCGAAATGATGCCACACCCTAGGTACCTACGTATTGCTGTGCTTATTGCTCTTTATACCGTCTGCTGGTTTACCCACTATAGATACCAAATATAGAATAGCTTATTAACACTGACGATCTGCTTTCCCTCCCCAACAGGGTCTGGAATCTTTGTATCGCCATCTGGCTTACTGGTGCGAACTGGTTCCGTTGGTGTGAGCTTTATTATATGGATGGCCTGTGGATTGCTCTCATTGTTAGGTAAGTATCTAAAATCTTCTTCTCGTACTATAAGCTAAACGTGTCAATCCAACTGTCCTAAAAGAACGATTATAAACAAAAGCAGCTCGAAAACCAAAAACTCCCATATTACCGTCACACGGTAGAGCAAGTTTCTCGCGTCATACAGAGTAGAAGGTTCCAATTTTACCGCCCCCAAAGTCATCGGTCGAGGTTGCTATGCAAAAGAGAGAAATGGGTGAACTCTAAAGTAAATTTGTTGTTCAAACCCACGACGGTAGCAGCAGCTCTGCTAATCCCGCAAAGAACAAGAAGTAATGAATGACAAAACTGACAGCTCCCGCCATACCGCGTGTGTCCAGTCATGTGATCTCGTTAAAGCGCGACCACGCGATCCATCATTGTGGCGGACGACGCCGCGCGAAAACAAATACATAAATCGAGAAGGAAACGCCGATTACGTCGCCGTGCTCGTCGTCGTTGTCAATGTCTTGAACGCAATTGAAAAAAAAACTCATGAAGCTCGAGGAATTCGAACGTTGCGTTGTGGGTTGGTTCGCACATTTACGCTTCTACCAACACATATTCCTGTTATGTGGAATAAAACTTCTGCGATTTCTATGTTATAAGATGGATCCAATAAACCGTACATGAAGATTTGTTGCAGTGCACGATCGCGAAATTCTGGCGTAACTTTACAAAAGATCCTAAGAAACAAATGTCAACAAGTCGAGTTAATCGATATTGCTCTTCTATCACAGAGTAGGCTGTGCGTGTGAACGAATATGACGTTCGTTTTTTTTTCTCGGAGTTTTTTATGCTTATTTGGTTATTAATCCGGTTAACATTTTCGAAGATAGCCAAGAACGCGATTATCCGTTTCAAAAATAATAAAACCATCTATGCAGAAGAAGCCCTGCGAGAACTGCATCTCATCCCCAAGGTATATTGGCTGTACGTCATGCTGCTGTACTGACTGTGATTTGCCGCTGACATACGGTTTCGCAAACGAAGAGGAACCTTTATTGGAACCAAGATATTCCATTGTTCGTCGTATTCGTGTGCAAGAAAAAGAAATTGCAAGTTGCTGGACCTGATACTTAGCTACCTTCACTCGGATCCAGTAATCGACTACAGCCGATTATTTTTTTTATCCCAAGCCCAAGCATCACTACATTTGCACACTTCAAACTGGTTCTACATAGGACGGGACTAGTTTATGTTTATTCCCATCAAGCGAACCGTCTTTGATTGGAACTATCTGATTAGAACTATCTGATTGGATCGTATCTGATTTTATCTATTTAAACTAAATTTACATGGTTCTCTTAAATTTGATTAATTCCTAATGGAGTTTTCTCCACGCATCCTATTTTTTGTGTCTTTGAAATCATCATTGAACAACAAATGGATTGTCTGCACATTTTTCAGCATGTGGTGGAACATTTCTGTAAATCATATACAGGGTGCGTGACGAATTTTTGCAGTAAATTTCAAATAGTAATTTCTCATGCTTGTGCAACATGATGTAGATATATTTGGCAGCACTGGATAGCTTATACTGTTAGGTGTAAGATTTAAACAAACAATATTGAGTAAACGTAAAGATGTCGAAACAAGAAAGCAATCAGTCAGCCGTTGTCGCTTTGTTGCGCGCCGGAGTATGCATGAAAGAAATAATTCGGTCGGTAAATGTGTCTGAAAGAACAGTGTTTAATATTAAAAAAGGCTTGGGAAAGTAATAAGACGGAGCACCTGCTCATACTGCTAATAAAGCACAGAAATGGCTTACGGAAAATATTTCGTAACTTTGGGAGGAAGAAATTTGGCCGGGATCAATCCGTTGGATTATTTTGTATAGGGTGTCGTCCAACGGGATACCAATAGAACCCCTCACACCACACTTAAGTCGCTAAAAGCTAAAATCAAGGCAGTGATGACATCTATGGATCGAAACATTTTAAAACGTGCATACTGCAGTTTCCGGAGGCGTCTAACTACAGTCGTCGAAAGGGAAGGCAATTTTTTTGAATAAATTTACTTACAACTTCCATTTGTTGCGAAAGAAAATAAATCGCACAAAATTCATTGCTAGAATAACTAACTGGTGTATTTTTTCTCAAATATGCCATTTACTGCAAAAATTCATCACGCACCCTGTATGTTAAAACATTATATTATATACTGGGTTGGGGGCAGCCTAAGAGAATCAAAGGATTTGTTGACTGGACGAGGGTTCGTGGATTTGCTAGTCCTTTGTCACGTGATTACAGATGGCCATCTGGTCGTTTTGTCTTCCCAAGGTCTTCAATGAAGCTGATTCACCCAGCAGCACCAAACCATCAGGCAGAACTTTAAAACCGGTAAAGTATCTGCAGACATTGGTAATCCTTGCACTGATGGTGGGTTCCATTCACATCACATGACATCACAAACTATTGCTCTTCTATCATTGTATGTAATACAAAAGGAGCTGTGTCATTTCTCCTTAGGATGTTTCGCCGAAGGTAATTTTGGCGAATAGGTCATTTCGCTGAATGGGTAATTTCGCCGAGTTTTAATCATGAGTCAATATTCCATTAAAATAAATTTGGAACGCATTTAAATAATAGATATTCCCATATAAAGCAATTTGAAAGAACTGCTCATATTTAGAAGAAGGAAGCATTCCTATAAATCAAAATCAAATGTTAAAAAAATTCTGAAATCAGTACAACTCGAAAGAACTTATCATGTTCAAAAGAAAGATGCATTCCTACAAATAAAAAAATCTAATATTTGAAAATTTCTGAAATCAGTACAACTCGAAAGAACTCCTCATGTTCAAAAGAAGGAAGCATTACATTTGAATAGTTTGCCAGGTTGAAAAAATCGAACCTTCTCAACCTTTTTTTTATGTTGGATTACGTCTTTCGCCATCGACCGCATTACGAAAAGTGGTCAGGTTTTGACCACATATAACTCTGTCAATAGCGGATGGATTTTAATTCTAAACAAGCCAATCGATTAGACATTTTGCTACGAATCTGCTAATTTGAACACTTTATTAATTTTCAATAGATCACTACTTAAAAATACACAAATGTCCAACTATTGCAATAGTGATCAAAATTATCACCGATTGCCTGCAAACAGCGCATTCCCTAACACAGATTTCAAAATCGAATACGATCCTGTCTCCCTGAACGGTGCTTATTCAATCACCGTGTGTGGTGATGTCCGGTCGGTCGTCAGAAGCTGCCGTCGAAAAGCTACCCGCAAACAGCGAGCTGCAGCCCACATGAGCATCCATTCACCGAAGAAGGAGGAAGACCGCTACTGATCGGGATCCATCTTCGTGAGTCGCTGTGGGCCATCTATGCCAAGCGCGTCACCTTAGTTCCAAACAACATACACCTCGCCAGCCTCATCCTGAACACCCTAATAGCACTCAACCATCACGACAAAACGGTTTTTTTTTTTCAGGACCACTATTTGATAAAGAGTATTTTTTGGAAATTTTCAACGTCACCAATCGGATGTCAGTTCCCATATGTTAAAATCTAACATACCACATATTTTTAAGGCAACCTTGGCAGTGCAATTTCAGAATCCAAAGTCGGTCGCGGCATGAAAGTGGTCTGATTTTGATCCAGAGATGCTGGATTTTAATTCTGAATACGCAAATCGATAGGAAATTTTTCTACGAATCTTTTAAAATTAAGGATTTATCATTTTTCAAAACTTCACTATTGAAAATTGCATGTGCAAGTGTTGCTATGATAATAAAATGGACACCGATTGCCTGCGAAAAGCGGTTTCTCTAACACAGATTTCAAAATAGAGTTCCATCCGGTCTCAACGAACGCTGTTCATTCAATCACCGCGTGTGGTGAGTGGTGGTGTTCTCCAGTACACAGCAAAAGGCTACCCGCAAGCAGCTAGCTATAAAGGCTGACCTCAACTGCTGATCGGATTCAGTTGCTCGTCGTGAGCCGCTGTGGGCCAGCTATGCCGAGTGCGTCACCCTCGTTGTTTAAGAGTTCATTTTCATTGAACGTTTGCTCACCTTGCTGCCAGCCACATCACTCCCCAAGCTCTTTGATAATGTACCCATCAACCAAACGTTTGTGGTCAATTTCGTCAAGTATTGAAGTGGTACATATAACCATGACACATGACCATGTCAGAGACACTTCGTAAGGTTTTCTCCAGGGCGCTAGAAAAAGCAACAAAATCTGGAATTTATGATTGGTCGCGAATATCTCGCGATTGGAAAATTTTAGCAAGAAATTCCTCCAATCAATATTCGCTTCTTTATTATCTGTTGAATAAACCAAAAATTCATTGCGTATTGTGAACGTTAATGCGTAATTTTGTCATCGGAAAACTAGGCGTTTCCGTGATGGGAAAAGTGGTTTCCCTAACAAAGTCCCCGAATATTGATACAAAACACTGAGCATGCCAGACGGTACCGATCTTTATGCCTTTATGGTGCAAATTTTAAGTATCTCCTATTAAGAGCATTATGCCAAAAAAAAACCTTGCCGAATTATCTTAATAGAAGGGGCTTAAAATTTGAATAAAAAAGCATAAACCTAGGTACCGTCCGTTAGGCTCAGATTAAGTGATTGATGTGTTTTCCCTAATACATATTTCATTTCCGCACCGCTATCATCTCCAAAAACATCGAGGACAAATTTCCACAATATTGTTCTTAGCTAGCTTCCAAGTTTCCAACCCATCGGTCCTTTTCAGTACCACAAATGACTGATAAAAGAGTTAACTAAAGGGTGATACGGTCAAAATTTGGTCAATATCAACTTGACGTATTTCTTTCAATTTTGCATTTAAAAAACCTGAACACCCCTCATTTTGAAGGTGTGTGTGTGTAGAATGTTGCTCCTATTTTGATTTTGGAATTCACTCTTCAGTTGTCAAAATGCCGTCCAAGCAAGAAGAGCAGCGTATCAAAATTTTGCTCGCGCATCGCGAAAATCCGAGCTACTCGCACGCAAAGTTGGCAAAATCGCTAAAAGTTG